ACTTTGGTCCATCTCTGGCTTTCGTTCAATTCATGATATATATTACTAGAAGTTATTGCATAAATTTCCTCTTGGTCTCAATTATGCTCTCCAAATTAATTTTAATGGTGGCCAATCACTAAAAAGCATTAACAATAATAATATATACTATACATAAAATAATAAACCTTGAAAGTATAAAAATTATAAAATTTTATATTAAATTGATCAAGTTACATCGTAGTCTTAGATGACAAATCAGTTCATAATTAAAGAAAAGAGAATCAACAATCTCATGATGAATATATGAGTATCCAATATCATAAAATAAAATTTAAAGACAAGGAAAACCAGTTTGATGATATAAAATCTCAAGCATTGATCTCCTTTCGTTGCCTTGATCTCCTTTCGTTGTTGAATTCCTTGTAGCCGTCTCTCTTAGTCTCCTCTCAGAAACCCCCTAAACTGATTTTTTTGAATGGGTATTTATAGAGTTTAAGAAACCCTATTAAAAGAGAAGTAGGACTCGAAACAAAATAAGAAGATGGGAGTTTGGACGTTGCGCGCTTAGTGTCGACACAGAACAAGGAACAAAAACCGTGGTTCTGGACGTGTAACGCATAGTGTCGACACCCCAATTATGTGTCGACACCACACCCGTGTCGGGTTTTTGGCCTCTTTTGCAATTTTTCAATGGTAAAATTGCAGATATGATCCTTTATGTTTTGAACGATGAGCACCGAGATCTCGAAACTTAAGATTCATTCATTTAGGTCCCAAAGAAGCCTCTTTCTTCTTGCAGTTCAGTCCCTCCACTTTCATAAGATATTCAATTAATTCCAAAACTCCTATTATTATGCATCCAAGTCCTTTTCTGCACAAAGAATAAAACCCATGTAAAATCTCATAAAATTCTTCCAGATATTAATAATGTCAAGGCAAAAATTCAACATTAATATGTGTATAAAATTCTTTTTTCTTCTTGTCTCTGTTTGTGTGGATTACAAGTCGAGTTAAAGACCAATGTATAGTATCAAGTTTAGTGCATGACCAATATAGTACAGTATGTAATTTAAATCTACTTGAATTGATCCAGGCAAGATCCTCTCGTTGGATAGAGGAAAATACAAGAGTTTAGGCTATGATTTTGCTAGCTAGTGTCCATTCCCATCTTATTGGGCAGAGCAAACACCAAGGAGCGTGTTAGATATCAGTGGAAGTGCATTAGTGTGAAGGGTTTCGTAAGTTTTTTGTCTACTAGGAATCTCTTGTGGACTAAGATGTCTTTTGAGATTGGTTGAAATGTATATGCATTGGGTACTGCTTGTACCCCGCTTAATAAAATTCATTTGTCCATAAAAAAAAATAAAAAATAAAGAACTCTGCTTGAATATATTCATTAATGTGAAAATGCAACTTATCATTAAAAAAATGCAATTTGAGAAAGGTGTGAAGTTTTGGTGGAGGCATGTGAATCTTTGGTTGTACATGCATGATTTGTTCTTTCTTTTTTCTAAAAAAATAAATCTACAGAAGACCATGCAAAGACAGGGGGAAACATACTTCATTGCAGGTCTCCCACGATCCCACCTCAGTTAGGTATGTCAATGTTCTTGTTTTATTATTTGATCAACTTGCTTGACTTTTGTTCCCTTGCTGTCATGATCGTATCTTAGAAGTATTCAAGTCAAGTTGCTT